TATGTACATATACACACATTATATATACATGTATATGTGTACATGGGTATTTATATACATTCATGAGTATGCTTGCTTATCCAATATTACATACATGTAATACAGATTTACAAGTTAAATCTTTTCCAAATCATTTTTATTGTTCTTATTGATCAGGAATATATAAAAACATTATATACATATAGTAAATATTTATATTTTTAAAATATTCCTTTTCTAAAATTGTTTTTGAGCTGTTCTTAATGACCAGACAGGATGGTGTAGGGAAGAGCCCTGGATATGGAGCCAGGAGACTTGGGTCTCAGTCCTAGCACTGACATTAATTTGCTATATGACCTTGAGCAAATTACCCAGACTCTCTGATCCTCAATTTCCCCATCTGTAAAATGGAGATAAGAATCTTTACACCATGTATCCCACAGGGTTGTTGTGAAAAAAATGCTTTATAAATTGTAAAGTGCTATATGAATGGTAACATTATTATTGTGTGTAGTAGCACTCTCCTGGTGATTTGACAAATGTCAGGAAGCAATGCCTACTGTGTGCTACTGTCACAGTATGATATCTTATAAGAACTAAGAAGTCATCAGTAATAGTACAATGAATATCTACTTAAAAGTAAGCCACTAAGCTGATAATGATTTTCAAAGACCATCTGTTGGTATGTGTGTGTGTGTGGATAACATAATGTTGCTGCTGCTTTTCTTGTATAAATAGTGTAAGATAAAATGCATTTATTCCTTCTTACTATGCTAACAGTGGCAGAACAAAGGTGTCATCATCAGGGCAGGATGCCCTTTACAAAGATTACCCGGCAAATTCCCATAGTGCCAGGTTATTAGGCAGACAAGTCAGTGGTCATTTCTGAGTCAGGTGGTACTTCAAGAGAAATAACTTAAAAACACATGAATTCAATGTCAGTAGCAACATTGCTAATGGTGTGGAAGCTTTTAGCCAACAGTGCTGTGGAATTCGCCTAGAGTTCAGTCCTACTTCATGCCCATCATCAGGACCAAACAGCAGCCAGATGATGCAACTGCCCTGTCTGTTCCAGAATTTACAGGCAGTGGGGAAAATTCAAACTTTTTCCCTCTGAATCTGAGGGAGAGTCAAAGGTGAGTCTTTGTAGATGAGCTATGTGGGAAGAGGAAGGTTTGCAGTGAAATAACCACCTTTGGAGTTGATTTTTACAAAGTAGCAAATAGCTCCAAGGCTTAAAAATGGTTTCAGCCTGTATGAAACCACAAAATGCTTCACAAGAGGCCTATTCATCATCACACTACTCTCAATAAGTGTCATACCCAAAGAAAACAACACACACACACACATACATACACCACCACCACCACCACCACCACCACCTGCCATAAGGTATACACATAAGGCCACAAGAGAATATGAAATTCAGATTCAAGAGAATCTGATCTTTTTATTTGATTATACTTAGAAAAAGCCTGGCAAAAACGGGCAGAGGAAGAAAATCCTTGGAGTTCTTTAAAGTCATAAAGTGAGCTGGCACAAGCTGCTATAGGGAAGGTTAATTTAGTGAGAGATTGTGGGGAAATCATTGGCTGTTGTGTAGGTAGTGGAGAGCCAGAACTGATCTAAGAAGGCAGAGAAGAAAGGTCTTTTCTGAGCTGACGTGTGGTGATCTGAAGGTGTTTGAGGGACCAGGCTTGTTCTGCCTGGGAGCAAGTCTTTCATCTCCTTGGCTCCTTCTGTATACAAGGGAATGAAAATAGTGCCTAGTACCCTATTACTCTCCTTTCAAATATCTGTTGACTGACTATTCTGCTTTCAAGTTGGGAAATCAGCAGAGGGGAATTCTGGGAGAGACATAGCAACTAACTGAGAATCTGGGCTGATAGGGAAGGAATCCTCAAAGGTATATTTAGGAACCCAATGATTTTTTTCAGAGGTAATATGTTGTGTTGGAGAGAACACTAGATCTGAAATTGGGAGACCTGGGTTTAAGTCCTGAATCCAATGTTTCCTGGCTATGTAATCTTTAAACAATTAATTTAGTCATAGGGTTTAGAAGGAGAAGGTATAGAATCAGAAGCAGATTCAATTTCTCACCTCCAAACCTTTGCCTAAGCGATGTCCCATGTCTGGAATACACCCCTTCAATTTTTGTCTCATAGAATCCCCAGTTTCCTCCAAAGCACAGCTTAGGTATCACCTTCCACATGTGGATTTTCCTCCAATGTCCCTTTATATGGACTTTATACTTTGCAAAGAGGCAACCTGGCATAGTGAACAGAATGCTTCCCACATTGACAAAAACAGAGGTCTTTGACTTAATGACATTTTCCCTTTTATTTTCACAAGATCACACATACGTCCTTACATTTACTTTATACAATTGAAATACCTTGCTTCCCAAATCTGTCTCTACCTTGAGTGTCCAAACACAATTTCAGTTTAGTCCTAAAAGACCCATTTTGTTGATCTCTTTAAGTAGCCCCATATCACTTTGGTTCATACATTAAATTGAGGAGGGCTAGGTGTATCTAACTGCTCTTGGGTGTCCAACAGATTGTTTCTCCCTTCCAAAGTCAAAGCCAGAATCAATCAAAATGTTAGTCCTCTGTCCCTTGGTGAAGGAAACCACAACTCATCCACCTGCATATAGTAGAAGAAGATACTTATCTAAACCCAGCACTAATCATGGTGGTACATCCTTTGCCTGGAGATGTTCACGCCCAGACTAATGTGTGTTTTCTGGACAAAGCAACTCTCATTTCTAATTATGTATGGGCAAACCAGAAGCTAAGCAGAGAGTTCTGGGCAAAATACACAAGGGATTTTATTTGATCCACATCAACAGATTATTTTGTTGCTTCCTTGGAGGGGGCTGGGGAGATATTCCAAGGTTAAAATGGACCCAGGTTATTAGTGCTTACTGCAATATTGATGATGTCATCATATAGTTTCCTTCTTACATTGGACTCTCCTGGCCATAGATCTCCAACCATTTTAAATGCATACAGATAATCCCCTCACCCCTCCAGTCCTGGGGAGAGGGAAGAGGTATTGCCATTTTTCCAATGCAGATGGGGATATAAAGGCATGAGCCAGTACTGACTTGTTTGATGTCATAGCTGAAGCAAGACTGCACTTTTCTCTGGATGCCTAAGAGAGTTCTGCCTTTACCATCATTAGGCAAATCTCCCAAACCTGGAAAAGGGTTCTCTATAATATAAAATCTGGGCTCTTCAAGAAGAGTTCTAGGGAATTCAAAACTATTGTTGAAGAATACTATTCTGCTCATCCCATTCTTTTCCCACTTCCCCACCTATTCACAAGCATCCTCAAGTTTCTGTAAAGTCGGACCTATACTTCCTTCCCCTCGCCCCAGGAACATAATCATGACCCTGGAAAGCCCTAAGACTCCAAACAAGAGTATAAATATGTGTCACTTCCAAGCACTTCATCAATACAGAACACATCCTTCCTTTTCCCCAGACAACTCTAAATCCAACCTGCCCTCAATCAAAGCAAACATAATCCTGAAGCAATCTCAGTCCCTATCTGATTCCTTCTGCCCATCACTTATACTTCCCCTCCTTTTGAAGTGTGAACGATATTAACAGCAGTGCCTGGGCGAAAGCAAGGCCCCGAAATTTGCCTGGGTAAAACTCAGCACTTGGACAATTCTCATCAGAAACAGCAGAGACAATTTAAACCACCATCACAGCAGAAACCTCGCAAGTATAGAGGGTGACTAAACATTAGGCAGAAAGGAGTGGGCTTGGGCAAGGGTTGTGGGCTGGGCAGAAGAGAGGAGAGGAAAGGACTGAGAATGGGCAGCGGTTGACTGTGGGCTTCAGAATGAGAACAGGTGGGAATATTTAGCTGTCACTTCACTCTTCTCCCAACCTCTCACGAAACACGTCAGACTTGACACGAAATGCAAAATTCAAGGGCACCAGGATTTCTTATGGGGTGGGGGGCAGGGAACCTCAACAGCCACGCGTTGAAATATAGAAGAGGAGTGCTGGAGGGGGAGGGGGGGGAAAGGGACAAATCACCGAACAACATCATTTCCCTAGGCTGGGTCCTCCTCCCTTCTTCCCCGCTTCCTCCGACCTCTACCCCTCAGCAAAC